AATATAATATCTTAGAAAATGATACAATTTGCAAACTTTTATATATAATAAATAATCGTTATATTTTAAAAATTACTACTTTTAGAAAACAAATCACGGGCGGGTTAACAAGTTACAGGATGGGTTATATTTCAGAACGAAGTTATATGGTGGACGAGTTTGAATCAATATTTATAAAATTTTAAAATATCATTAACATGCCGCTTTAATACAGATTAAATCTTCAGTTTCTTAAAATATAAATATCTTAGAGAATGATATGATTTGTAAACTTTTATATGTAATAAATAATCATTAAATTTTAAAATAAAAACAAATCACAGGACGGGTTAAGAAATTACGGAACGAGTTATATTTCAGAACAGGTTTATATGGCGGACGAATTCGAATCAATATTTATAAATATCATTAACATGCCGCTTTAATACGGGTTAAATCCTCATTTTATTAACAATTGTCTTGTGGGCTCGTGGTATACCGTTACTTAATAACAATTGTAAACTATAATATAAATAAATATTTTATAAGGTGATACAATTTACAAAATATTTTTATACTAACTTTAAACATAAATCATCCCGCGGTGTACCGCGGATTAAAATCTAGTTATACATACAAAATTAGTCTACCAAAATACAAAAGAATTCATATAAGTTTGTGTCTCTTTTCCTTCTTCTATAAGACTTTTAAAACAATGTGACAAAATCGTCAACTTTCATTTTTACCCGGAGACCAAACCTATCAAAGTCTGAGACATTTTTAGAGAGTCCAAATATTGTTAGAGGGTAACGTTAAGATATGCATACATAGATGCTGAAAAGCATCCAAATATTCATACACATCGTCGTTAATCAACGAGGAGACCTGCAAAATTTGGAGAAGTTGATGGTGATCAGAGGCATCCATAGATGCTGATACTAACCTCGACGCACATATCTTATAGGTGCAAATCTTGTAAGCCAAGGAACAAGAAAATTACACTTAAATTGTTACTTGCATGCCAAGAAACATGTAAACGTGTTTACACTCACACATGATTTTTAATCCCCAATGCTACTCATGATATTTGTCTTACACTTACGTGATGTAACAGAAAATTTTGAAACCTATAATAATATATAAGCTGCATATATAAAAGCCAAACACCAATATGCAACAACAGTCAATACATAAATGAATATCATCGAAATCTAAGAAACTTTCATATGTGTAAAGAAGCAATAAGACGAGAGCAAGCATCCTCCCTGGCTTGGATCAAGAGAGGCTTAAACATCTCAAGAATTCTATTTTTAGGGTTGATCACTTTCACCTTAGGTGGTGAGGTTTCTAAGAGAGACTTCCACAAATAAAGAATGTTAGACTTTATCGCTTCTCTCGAAAATCCATACGCCTCTGAATCATTTTTGGCAGACCTCAACGTCTCTTCTAGCTTCTTCAGCTCTTGGTTGTAGTGTTCAAAATCCGATGTTTTCACTAACTCACCAAAAGAGCTTTCTCTCTTCCTAAGAATCAAAACAATGCGATCCAATTCTCTAATTCCAAAAACAAAATTCTGGCTAGACTTTACGAAAAGTTCCCATTGGTTCGATTTGCCACCAGCCTGATAGATTTCATTCTTTGGTTTAATATATGTTTCAAACACATATATCATAACAAAAATCAGCCTTCCTACAACGGGAGCGGTAATACCTTTCCCTGCATGCTTCAATAGCCAAAGACAAAACAGTAACATAGAACGTATGTCATCAGATAATAAGACCATTGCTTCAGCCACAAAGAGCGAGAGCTCAACTCCGAGTCGTATAGCCTCATCTTTCTGCATCTCCTTATCAATGGTAATGTTAGTCTCTTTACTGTAAGGAGAATATCTAGACTTTTGTAATTTCTTGTTGTGACGCGCAACATGGTGACTCACTGACATAGATTCCATCTTTTCGGAGATGATCGAGATGTCTGAAGAATTCATTGAGGGGGTCTCGAGTTACAGTGAGAGAAGAACCTTAAAACCAAAAAAAAAAAATAACTGAGGAAGAGTACCCTAGATCGTAACTTTAATCTTCAATACGAAACCCTAGAATGATATCAAATCCAAATTCCTTGAAAGAAGTAACGATGCAATCGTTGTAGTGTTCTCTGAAAACCTAGCCAATCAATCTAACCTTATTTGTCGTAGAAAGCATATATAAAGAGGACAAGAAAAGGAAAAACGTTTTTTACATTCTTAAAAAAAAGGAAATAAATATATTTTTTTGTCGGCAAGGAACAGGAAATAATTTGAAGTTCTAAATTAGAGAAAAAGATTAGTTTTTTTTTTTAATCCCTTTACGACTTGGGTTTAAAAACATTAAATGATTAACCTCGTCTTTGACAAATATAATAACAAAAAAGGCTTATGGATTCTTTTTCTTTAGGCGATCAAAAGGCATATACCGTTATAGCATCCAAGAGCACCTCCAACGTGAGTTTCTTAACAAAGTAACTAACAATAAAAAAAAAAAACAAAAAATAATTAAAAAATTATGAGAGAGAAGAGACAGGGTTTATAAAAGTTCTTGTTCAAGAGACGATATCAGAAACCCATATAACACGTATAACTTTATAAGTGGTCTAACTGTATTAAAAAAATTATAATATAATTGTAGAATTAAAATAACAGGGAGTCAAAAAATTACGAGCCTGGAAAAAGGTGTGTAGACCGAAGAAGGAAGGGGGTCTAGGGATAAGGTTAGCGAAAAACATGAATAAGGCTTTACTTGCTAAGATCGGTTGGCGGCTGCTTCATGAGACAGGGAGTTTATGGGCTAAAATCTTGAGAACTAAGTACAAGGTAGGAGATCCACGTGACAAAACTTGGGCAGTGGTAAAGAGCAATTGGTCCTCCACATGGCGAAGTGTCACCCTTGGAATGCGGGAAGTGATTTTTCCGGGTCTTGGTTGGGTAGTTGGTGACGGAAATACTATCCACTTCTGGACGGACAAGTGGTTAACCGCGACTCCATTACTGGATTTGGCTTTAACTCCGGTACCGGTGGAGATGGTGGAAGCACGGGCTCGCTCTTATTGGAGTAATGGGAGAGGCTGGGATTTATCGGGGTTGAGTGTTTACTTGCCGGAAAATGTCAGAATGATGCTCACAGCGGTGGTAGTTGACACAGTGACAGGAGCGAGAGATCGTTTGTCCTGGGGTGAGAATGCGGATGGTAAGTTTACGGTTAAGTCAGCATACTCCCGGTTAACAAGAGAGGATATACCAAACCAGAATGTGAGTGCTCTGTTTGGTCGGGTATGGAGAGCTGAGATACCAGAGAGAGTGCGGTTATTCTTCTGGTTAGTTGTACACCAGGTGGTGATGACGAATGTTGAGAGGAATAAGAGACATCTTTGCGATACGAGTATATGTCAGGTTTGTAAAGGTGGTGAAGAAACGATCTTACACGTGCTACATGACTGTCCAGCGATGGAGGGAATATGGATCCGGTTAGTCCCATTGCGACGTCAAGGTCAGTTCTTTTCTCAGTCTTTGTTGGAGTGGATTTACGGAAACTTGGGGGATGAGAAGGTAGTGGAGCATTGCCCATGGTCTACCAGATTTGCTATGGCTTGTTGGTGGGGTTGGAAATGGAGGTGTGGAAATGTTTTTGGGACTAATGGAAAGTGTAGAGATCGGGTACGGTTTGTGAAAGAGATCTCTAAGGAGGTGTTTGATTCTTTTTTGCTTCTCGGCGGGAAGAAGAAAAATGGTGGCAGGTTTATGAGGGAAATCGCTTGGCAGAAACCGGAGGAGGGGTGGGTGAAAGTGAATACAGATGGGGCCTCTCACGGGAATCCCGGGCTAGCAACAGCGGGAGGTGTTATACGGGATGGTGAAGGTAACTGGTGTGGAGGGTTTGCGGTTAAGATTGGGATATGCTCTGCGCCCTTAGCGGAACTGTGGGGAGTATATTATGGGTTGTATCTTGCTTGGGAGAGGAGAGCAACGAGGGTGGAACTGGAGGTCGATTTTGAGTTGGTTATTGTCGGCTTTCTCAAGACGGGGGTTAGTGACTCACACCCTTTGTCTTTCCTAGTACGCTTGTGCTATGGCTTCATTTCGAAGGACTGGATTGTCCGTATTTCTCACGTGTATAGAGAGGCAAACCGGCTTGCTGACGGTTTGGCGAACTATGCGTTTTCTCTTCCTTTACGTTTTCATTCTTTTGTTTCTATGCCGGATTGTGTTTGTTCGATCTTGGCCGCTGATGCTAGTGGGGCAACGACCTCACGGCAGTTTAGTATGTAATTTTTTTTTTTTTTCATTAATAAAGTTGGGAGACATTGTCTCCCTCAGATTACCAAAAAAAAAAAAAAAAATTACGAAACTCTCGCCGTCTGAGACCGATTGAGGAAATTGGGTAGATTTGTAGTTTTTAATCATTATTTGCTGTCACAAACTTTCTTAAACTAATGATTTTATTTCATCGAATTTTGAAGGCCAAGTGATTTGGGTTACTGTTGACTGGTTCATCCCAAACGTCTCTCCAATGAGTGAGATAGATTCACCAGAGCCAAGCCTCCTAACCCTAATGGCTCTGCGGTTTACTGATGTCACTCCTGCCTCGCACCTCAGTTTCATATCCAAGTTATGGGGGGATGATCTGTTAGCGTTGAGAATTTAAGTTCTTGATGATTGTTTGGATTTCTACATAAAGTCTCTTATAGTTTTGTACTTTTGTTCTAATGTAGTAACAAATACATGTGGTGAAAAGCGATGGATTGTTTTGTTTTTATTCTTCATCTTTAATTTGTTTTTGATATCTAAATTGATGACATATCAAACTGATATTACCCTTCCGATGTGGGATAACAAAGTATACGTCATTACAAATTTGGTATCTATTTTCAATGTGGGACCATTGGTACTAAACTAATAAAGCAGGAAACTGTTCCTGTCCAAAATTAATAAGACAACAACACCAAACTTATCTTATGGAACATATAATTATTATGACTGATATAGATGATAGGGGCTGCTGGGCGAACGCAAACCCCTTCGCCCACAAATAATGACGTAGGCTCTTCCACTTGGGAAGACCTTAGGCTGAGTAAGTCACTAGCCTAGGCCACTCGTCTTCTTGATCCCGAGTTGACTCTGCTAGGTAAGTAATTTGCTCGAACCGTCCACTGCTCTATTTATACTCCTGCTTCCCCAGTCATTGCTTTGGGTAGAATGGGTGTGGGGGACTTTGTGTTTGGGGGGTCAACAACATGTGACCAATTCAATTGTAAAATAATTCCCCAATGAAATTAATGTACACCTTATTCAATTGTGTGTCGTAGTTAGCTTAGACGATTGTGCTAAGAATCTTCGATTTAACAAGAAATAATGAAAAAAAATATTGACGCGTACGTGGATAAGTCAGCCATGTACGTTTATGTACAAACCTATCAAAAGAGAATAAAAAACAAAATCAACATATATCGTAATCTCATATGCTGTTCTCTAGCTGTAATTAAAACTCCTTTAGATATATACATTTTTGGATTATTCAGTTCTATTTTTATGAAGACCATTTAAATTGTCTTTACCTATTTTAAAAATATCCTCAATACTCTTTATATATCTAATATTGTATTAAATTTTTCGTGTGATTGATTCTTTCAGAAAATACACTGATATAATTATTTGGAATGATATGTATGTGTTGCTACTCGCTAGTCTTTTTTGGTATGACAAAGTGGTTGGACCATATATACACCGACACATTACGTGTTGAAACTTTTTTTTATCATTTATTTTTATTGTAAACATTCTACATTAAATAAATATTTAAAAAGACTCATAATCGATTGATTTTAAATTACAACTCTTAAGACTGAACATGATTATATAAATATTGCCTAAGTTTAACCTATATAGGGTATGTTTTTCGGTAGTGTTAGGAATCCCTCGTAAAAATAATTGTGGGAGACATATAGCAGTAATATATTAGAGATATTAAGTTAAATAGTATAAAACTCAAAAGTTAGAGAAAATGTTTCGAGTTTGTAGTTTGCGGGTAATTTTATTTGTTCATATTTGCTATTTAGGTATTGGTTACTTTTAAACCCTATAGACTATTATACTAGATTCTGGTGTTTAATCTATGATGATATATGGTTGAATAAAAAAAATTAGTCAATAGTAAATGTATGGCTCACCATAAATAATAAATAGGTGAATACCATGAATAAATAGTGCATGGTATTTAACTACTTATTATTTTACGGTAAACCATACATTATCTAATAAATAATCTAAGGTTAATAGTGTATCCTTCACTACGATAGAGTGTATCCAGGTCCGGCTTATTGGGTGTGCCAACAGTGCATTTGCACATGGTCCACTTTTTTTTAGTCATTTTTTTAAAGCAATTAGGGTCCTTATTTCTTGAAAATTATATAAAAGGGTCCAAAACTAAACATATGTATAAAATATAAACGTTTTTTTTTAAAATTGGGCACAAGGTCCCATTTTTTTCTGAGCCGGGCCTGAGTGTATCATCGATAAAACAGTTTATTGTCTATATGTTTTCTTTCTTTTTTGTTAAATATCATTTAGAATGTCAATATCCAATCCATAACTTAATCTCTCTTACACTGAGTAACGCGATTTATTAGAATCGAATTTAGATTAAAAACCGCATAAATGAAACATTAACCACATGTCTAAAATTTTTTCTTTCTATACTTTATTTTTTTAATTTAATTAAATGCATTTAGATGGTATAATAATACAGACCAACCACTACAATTAATTTAGAGGAATACTTTTCGTGCATGCGATTATTAAGCAATTATTTATTTTTCGTCGTCACTCGGAACAATACAAATATCCTCTTCAGTGAAATAATGTGTCCAACCAATTTGTACAAAAAAAAAAAAAATGTCCAGCCAAAAGCCCACCACACCAAACGTCTTTTTCAATTTTATTTCAACTCTTTGGAATTTTCTCACGTCAAATTCAATCAACTTGCAAATCTATATGCTGTTTCCACATATATTAAAAATAGGCTTTAAATGGGATCTGGATTCTTGAAATTTTTCAGAGAAATTCAAGAAGAAAACAAATATGAAGTTTGGAAAAGAGTATGTTTCACAAATGATACCAGAATGGCAACAAGCTTACATGGATTATGCTTGTCTCAAAAACATTCTTCGAGAAATCCAAACTTCACAGAAAAGAGCAGAGAGACAAGGTGTCGTGAAACACAAGCTATCTGGTCGCCGCAATTTCAGCGGCCTGACAAAGCGGTACAGCCGCACCTTCTCGTCTCGGGATCTCGAAAACCATGATATTCTGGTTCACGCAACGACTGGAGATGACGGGTTTGAGAGATACGAGACAACCATCTTGAAAGTTGCTGAAGTAGGGCGAGAGTCAGAGCTTGTGTTCTTTAAAACCCTAGATCTCGAGTTCGATAAAGTAAACGGTTTTTACCGGTCTAAAGTGGAGGAATTGGTGAAGGAGGCAGTGGTTTTGAACAGACAAATGGATGCTCTGATTGCTTTCAGATATAAACTCGATCAACCTTCTTCTTCTTGGAGCTGCTCTGAAACAGTATCAGTCGATATCAATGCCTTGGATTCTAAGGAACAGAGTGAGTTTTCAGAGATTGTTTTGTTACATGGTTTAGTCTGAAAGGAAACAAATCTTGAATCTTTGTTGTGTCTTTGTGTGTGTTTGACTCAGAAGGGAAGACATTAGCTGAAGAGATGGGAATCAAATTAGAGGAAAATGTATCCAACGGTGGAGATTCAACGAAAGAGACTGTACCAGAGGCGTTAAGTGTTCTTGATCGTATCAGATTAAACAAAAATCAAGAAAATCCTCTGTCGACAATTAGAAACGTCCTCAAGCTCTCTAACAAGGAAGATCTAAAATTTACAAGAGAAAATCTCAAGAAAATAGAAGAACGGCTAAAAAATGTCTTCATCGAGTTTTATCGCAAGCTTCGACATCTCAAGAACTACAGGTATGTTGTTTCTTGAGTACCAATACAAGTTAAAAAGGATTGTTTGATTTAACCTATGCTCTGTTCTTGATTTATTCAGCTTCTTGAACACTTTAGCGATTTCCAAGATCATGAAGAAGTATGATAAGGTACACTTGCTTTGATAAAAAAAATATTAATTAGTTTCTTGAGACTTATTAATATGTTTTTGCTATATATTCTCAATCAGATTGCTTCAAGAAATGCAGCAAAATTATACATGGAGATGGTAGATAAGTCCTACCTCACTAGCTCTGATGAGGTTTACACAATATCTCTACACAAAACTTATTATTTTGTTTCAATAAAACTACAAAAGTAAAATCAGACCTTTGATTACCTTTTAACAGATCAACAAGCTTATGTTGAGAGTTGAGTCTATTTTTGTTGAGCACTTCGCCAGTTCGAATCGAAGCAAAGGAATGAATCTCTTAAGACCAAAAGTGATGAAAGAAAAACATCGAATAACGTTTTCCACTGGTAACTAAAAATTACATCCCCTAATCGAAATCGATCTTTTAACATTAGTTCATGATTAATAAGTAAAAATCCCTACACTGTGTTCTTCTTTCTCAGGCTTTTTCGTCGGTTGCACGGTCTCTCTAGTGATTGCTCTTGGCTTGTTCATCCATGCTCGTAATATAATGGGCGCAGCCGGACATAAACTATACATGGAGACAATGTTTCCTCTATACAGGTTCAAACCAAAACATATATAGACACTCTCTAAGCTGAACCACTGTTTTCTTGCTGACAAGAATATTTCTTAAACCGTATTTTTTCAGTTTATTTGCATTTGTGGTTCTACACATGATCATGTATGCTTCAAACATATACTTTTGGAAGCGATATCGAGTGAATTACCCGTTTATATTTGAATTCAAAGAAGGGACAGAGCTTGGTTACGGACATGTTCTGCTTCTAAGCTTTGGCCTCGGCACACTTGCTCTCAGCGCTGTGCTAGTGAACCTGGACATGGAGATGGATCCTAATACTAATAATTACAAGACCATCACTGAACTTGTTCCCCTTTTTGTTGTCGCGGTAAGTTGTTCATCATTACAGCCACAAGATTCTCAAATCATTCTATTATATATTAATGTAGTAACACAATGTTTTTCAGGTAGTGATAGCTATTTCTGTCTGTCCCTTCAACATATTTTACCGGTCAAGCCGCTTCTTCTTCCTCATGGTTTTATTCCGATGCATTGCTGCGCCGTTCTACAAGGTATTTTACTCAAGCACATCCTCTGTTTTCGCTAAGTGAAATCATCGGTAAATCTCTCAATTTGTTATCATCAATATTGCAGGTCAATCTTGCAGATTTTTTTCTAGCAGACCAATTAACAAGCCAGGTTTGTGTGTTACTCTTATCATAAAATTCTTCTCACTTTCATGATTATGTTTTCAAAATGTTTCAACTCATTTCCCAACCATCTTTTTCAGGTTCAAGCACTGAGGAGTCTGGAGTTTTACATCTGTTACTATGGTTGGGGAGACTTCAAGAAGAGGCAAAGCACTTGCAAATCAAGTGATGTATACAGCACATTCTACTTTATCGTCGCTGGGATACCTTACTGGTCACGTTTCCTTCAATGTGCTCGAAGATTAATCGAAGAGAAAGATTTAAGCCAAGGCTTCAATGCTCTCAAGTATTTATTGACCATTGTCGCGGTGTGCTTGAGAACAGCTTTTAGCATTAACAGAGGAAACAACTGGAAAATAGCTGCCTGGGTTTTCTCGGGGTTAGCAACATTTTACGGTACATATTGGGACATTGTTTATGACTGGGGATTGCTTCATAGACCATCTAAATCTTGGTTGAGAGAGAAGCTTCTTGTTCCTCACAAATCCGTCTACTACGTTGCAATGGTGAGAACTAGGAAAATTGATAGAACAGTATATAAACCCTAATTTATGATTTATTTATAATTTTGATTCGGTCTTCGTATAGGTCTTAAACGTTGTGTTGAGGATGGCGTGGTTACAGACTGTGTTGGATTTCAATATCTCGTTCTTACATAGAGAAACAATGATTGCTCTTATTGCCATTCTTGAGATCATACGTCGCGGTATCTGGAATTTCTTCAGGTAACTTCTTAACCAAGAAACTATCACTAAATAGTAAATACAC